CCAGTGGCCCTTCTTTGGCTCCCTTGGTGATGTTTGGCTTGAATCCTCATTGTCTGACATTAAGATTACGGCCCTAGATGTTTTAAAAAATGTTTTAAAATTGATTTTGAGAAAGAGGAAGAGAGAGGGACGCATCAAGTGTTGTTGCTCCACTTACGTGTGCATTCCTGGCTTGATGCTTGTTTGTGCCCTGACCTGGGACCGAACCCACAACCGTGGGGTATTGGGACGACGCGCTAACCAAACGAGCCACCCAGCCAGGGCCACTCTGTTTTTGTTTGTATTTGTCTTCATGCCTTTGCTCATTCTTTTCCCTTTAACCATTCTAAAGCGCTTGGTTTGGTGGTTGTCTCTTGAATGCAGGATCAAGTTGGGTTTTGCTTGGGATCTTAACTAAAAAAACTTTCTTAAAGATCAGTGAGTTACTTATTGATATGGCAGATGTCTTCGGCCTTCTTCCTGGCATCTTGCGTGTGTGTGTGCATACATATGTCTTCGTGCACGTGGGAAGGTTGTATTCTTCTTTCCAGTGTGGTCTGTTTTCTTCACTTTTAAAAATACTACAGCCCTTCTGATACTCAGGAAAGCTTGTATATTGGTTCTAGTGGTTACAATTACATTTATGTGTATATAGTATTCCTAGTTTTTTCTTTCGACACTATCTATTGCTTCTCTTCTGTGAGCAATACTGTTTTTTAAATATGTTTTTATTGACTTTTAGAGAGAAAGGAAGGGAGATGGGAGACAGATGGGAACATCAATGGTGAGAGACAATCATTGACCGACTGCCTCCTGCACGCCCCCCACCGGGGACGGGGCCCACATGCCAGCATGTGTCCCGACCGGAAATCACACCGTGACCTCCTGGTTCATAGGTCGATGCTCAGCCACGGAGCCACACCCGCTGGTCATAGTGTCCCATTTCACCTCATGAAATCAGACTTCCGCATGTCAGGAAAGCTTTCCTGCGTTACAGTTTTAAATATTTCTTCTGTTCAGTTGAGTTTTCTTCCTTATGCCGGGCCGGCGTGGCCCAGTGGTTGAGCATTGACCAATGAACCAGGAGATCAGGGTTTGATTCCCAGTCGGGGCACATGCCCAGGTTGTGGTCTTGATCCCCAGTGTAGGGTGTGCAGGAGGCAGCCGATCAATGGTTCTCTCTCATCATTGATGTTTCTTTTTTTTTTTTTTAATTGATTTTTGACAGAAAGGAAAAGAGAGGGATAGAGTCAGAAACATCGATCATCTGCCTCCTGCACACCCCCTACTGGGGATGTGCCTGCAACCCAGGTACATGCCCTTGACCGGAATCCAACCTGGGACCTTTCAGTCCGCAGGCCGCTGCTCTATCCACTGAACCACACCGGTTAGGGCAACATCACTGATGTTTCTACCTCCCTCTCCCTCTCCCTCTCCCTCTCCATCCTCTCTGAAATCAATAAAAATATTTTTTAAGGAGTTTTCTTCTCTGGAAACTCCAGTTACGCCGTCGTGGCCTCTCCGATCTGTCTGTTTTTCTTATCGAATTCTTTGATCTCCGTGACTATTTCCGCTCGGTTTTCGTTCAGTTTTCCTACGGTAATCTCCACGGTTTCTTGCTCTGCTTCGCACGGAGTGCGCTCTCCCTTGCATTTCTCGCAGTTTGGCCTTCACTTCTGAAATGCACTTGTCCTTTCCTCTCGGCTCCTTCCTGAGACCTGTCCGTCCTCACAGTCGTCCTCATGGCTCACGTGGCCTCTCCATTCCTTCTCCAGTTCTTGTAGTTCTGCCCTTTGGTCTTCCTTCGAGGTTTTTTTTTAATTCATGTTGTGATTATGGATTAGAATTTTACTTGTCGTGCGCCAATATGGCGTCTCTGCATGGATGCTGCGTTTGTTCCTTAACAGTTTTTTCTTCTGTATTTGAATCGGTGGAATTTCCCTGGAGCAGCTGTCAACAGGAAGTCTTGGTGGAAACTGGGAGAGAGGTTTCTCTGCTGAAAGGCTCTTCCTCTGTTTTTATGGGAATGAATTGTTCCTTTAAAAGGTGGCCCTTTAAAAAAAAAGAAGAAAAAAAAAGATGGGCCTCTGGATCCACTCCCCTTTGGCCTCTCAGAGCCCCACGGTTCAGGGGGCAGGCTGCCCTGGCCGGTGTAGCTCAGTGGGTAGAGCATTGGCCCCAGGACTGAAGGGCCCCAGGTTTGGTTCCCGTCGAGGGCACATACCTTGGTTGTGGGCTCAGTCCCTGGCCCTGGTTCGGGTGCGTGTGGGAGGCAACCGATCGATGTGTCTCTCTCGCATTGAGGCTTCTGTCTCTCTCTCCCTCTCCCTTCCTCTCTGAAATCAATAAAAATATATGGTACTGAACCCAGTGGACGCCACTGTCCCCTCTGCCCCTGTGATCCTGGCCGCAGCCGTGCCGGGCACTCCTGCCGGTGGGGGGGTGAGGCGTTTGTCTCCCTGGCAGGGCCAGCCAGCACCTTCCTGGGGGGCACTTGTCCCCCGTGGGGAACTGCCCTTGGCTGGAGGGAGGCCCACCCAGTTCATGCCCCCATCCTGGGAACAGCCGTGTCCAGTGGGTCAGGGTGGGAAACCGACACTTGAAGCCGTGCGGGCGCCAGGGCTGCCGTGGACCGGCTCTTCTCCGGCAGGTCCTGTGTCGTCCCCCCCCTCCCCCCCCAGGCCCTGCAGGTGGCTCCCCACAGGGACAGGCCTGTGACTGGGCCCTGGCAGGAGCTCTGGCAATGTGACCGAGAGTGAGGGGCACAGAGGGAGCGCCCTGCAGAGGGGACCCCTGAGAGCCCCCCCCCAGACGTCCACGCACAGCAGGCGAGACCGCAAACCTCAGACCCCGGGTCAGACCCAGGGTCCGCTCACGCCTCCTTGTGGGCCGCTCCCCCGTCCTCGGCTGTGATTGAGAACAAAGCTTCCTTCTTCTTTTTCTTCTTAAAAATATATCTTTATTGGTTTCAGAGAGGAAGGGAGAGGGAGAGGGAGAGAGAAACATGTGCCCTGATGGGAATCGGGCCCTGACCTCCTGGCTCACAGGTCGGTGCTCAACCGCTGAGCCACGCCGGCCAGGCCCCGGCTTCCTTCTTCACGAGGCGCCCGGAGGCGCCGGAGGGCACAGAGGGGCGCAGGGGGCGGCCCGTGGCCTCCTGTCCTGTCCTAACCCCGGCACCCTGGATGCCACCTGTTGGGGGAAGGGGTCTTTGCAGCTGGTGCCTTAAAGATGAGGACTGAGCCGGGTCGCCCAGGTGGGCCATGCACCCAGCGACAGAGACAGGAGGGAGACAGGGACGCGGAGAGGCCGCGTGGGGACAGGCGGAGGCTTGAGGGACCAGGCTATGAGCTCAGGAGCCGAGGGCCCCCAGACACCGCAAGTGGCGGACACCGCTCTCCCCGCCCCCGCGAGGTGAGAGACAGCAGGGCCTGCCCACACCTTGACCTCAGGCGTGGGTCCTGCGATGAGAAAACAGGCGCCTGAGCTGAGCCCCAGACTCCACCCAGGAAGCTGTCCCCGGAGCCGACCAGGTCTGTCCCTGCGCTGGCGCGGTTTTCTGGTTGAGACGTCCGAGCTGTCTGCCTCCTGCCGCCTCTCGGAAGCCCCCGAGGGTGCGGGTCAGCCGAGGAGGGACAGGAGGCGCCGCCTCCGCTGCTGGGGGCCTTGGCTGAGCCCCTTCCCTTCCCTTCCCTGGGCCTCCGTCCCCATCTGAGCATCGGGATCCCTGGCGTTCAGCGCCCAGCCTGGCAGCGCGCGGGTTCGGAGCCCAGGGAGGGCCGGAGGGGGCGCGCCCACTGCGGGGCCGAGCTGGGTGTGGGCCATGCCAGGTGCCAGGTGCCAGGTAGGGAGCCTTTCCCAGCCACTTACACCTGGACGCTGATGCCGATGCCCCCAAGGTGGGAGGCCAGGGGGGTGTGGCCAGGCCCGTGCCCTCTGTCTCCACCAGCCGTCCCTTCTCACTCCCACTTCCTGCCGAGAAAGATGGGGTGGGGGTCACCACGACGACGGGAGCCACGGGATGCCCCACAGCGAACTGCTAACTGCAATACCTCCCGGCGCGGGGCTGAGGGGGAGGCGGGAGGCAGGAGGGGGCGGTGGCAGCGATGTGCCAGGCTGTTTGATGAGGGCCAGGACTTCGGCCTCAGCTGCCAGGCCCATCCAGGGGGCCAGGAGCGTGCCTGGGGCCTGAGGTCACACGGGGATTGGGCTGCGGCCAACTTGGCCCATGAGCAGTTTCTATTCCTGGGCCCCGGGCTCCGGCACCAAATACGGTGCTGCCTGCCTCTGGCACCCTCGGCTATGGCAGGCCTGGCTCCAGGGGCCCAGCCCGCCTCCCCTAAAAGCCCGGTACTTGCCGCACCCTGTGGCAGAACCCCACCCCCCAGGGCCCCGGGCCCCCAAGCAGCCAGGGCCTCGCTCCATCCCTCTGTCTGTGCGCCCACTCCTCAGTATGGTTCCCGCTGGGTTAAGAGGCCTCAGGACCAGAATAGCCTCTCCCTGCGGGGGAAACCGGGGCGGGAGCACGCGGCTCTTGGTTTACATCAGGGCCCTGCCATTCAGGAGCTGGGGGACACGCGGGACCCGGTGGACCGCCCGCGTCTCAGGGCCTGAGCAGAGGAATGACCGGCCACCACGTGCTCTCAGTGTCCCTCTGGCTGCCGAGTGAGTGCGTCAGCGCGTGAGCAAGTGGAGGAGACGGTCCTTTTCCTGTGTGACTGTGCACGGGGCTCAGGGGAGAGGAGGTGTGCAGGCCCGATGGCACTTGGGGCGGTCCATCCGGCCAACTCCCTTCTCGTCCAGCGTCACCTCCCTCTGGCTGCATTTCCGCCATCATCTAGTTTATTATCCTCGTCTCCTTTCCAGTGCTCTCCCTCAGGCTGAGCCGCCCCTCCAGGGCAGGGCCGCGCCAGCCGGCCCCTTCCCCCTGGGGGCCGAGCGAGGGCGAGGTCAGTGAGCATAGCAGCCCAGGCCCCAGAGAGCCCGCGGCCGCCTCCCTCACTCTCTCTCGTCTTTTGCAGATGGATTTGCGGGCACAGAGAGCGGGTGGAAGGGCCGCGTTCGTCTTGGCAGAGGAGGCTGACTGCTGAGCCAGGGCGTGTCTACAGGAGGCTGCCAGCTGCCCGGATCCCCGCCTCGCCGCCATGGGCCGCCCAGGCTGGTCAGTTCCAGCTCTTGATGTTGTCTCGGTTCCCTGCCCCGGGCCCCGGGGGAGGGCCGGCCCACTGCTCGCATCCTAGGCGCCTGGCACCGCTCTCTGGCCACAAGACCCAGCTGTCCTGGGAGGGGTTGTCTCCAGCCCCCTGGGGTCCCCAGACTGTTTGGTCCCTCCACCCCTTTCAGGCCAAGTTTCCAAGCCTCTACAGTAGAAATGATGCAACTGCCCCCTGGGGTTGCTGAGAGCCAGAGGGGAGTGGCTTTGTCTCTGAGCAAATGGTGGCGGGTTCTGCTAACAGTGCGCAGAGTCCAGGCCCATGAGCTTGGTCGCCCCCAGCGCCAGGCACGGCTATGCCTTGGCTGTGCTGACTCGCTCCCAGGCAGGATGGTGCAGTGGTGAGAGCAGCCTCTGGAGCCAAGTGGCCAGGGTTCACACCCACGTCCTGCCACTTGCCGGCTGTGGGATTCTGCGTGAGTTATCAGACTTCTCTGCGCCTCGTTTTCCTCACCGGTAAAGTGGGGGTGATGCTTGCCGGCCGAGAGGGTAGCGTTAGGATTTAACGAGTGAATATCTGCTAAATGCTGAGAAGGTCGCCTGGCATGCGCATGGTAGACAAGCAATATTTATTGAATACTAGTAAGCCCTGCGCACGAATCCATGTGCCAGTAGCTTGCCAGTAGCTTGCTGCCGCCCTCCTGTAGCTCCCCCCTGCCACCCCCATAGCTTGCTGCCCTGCCCGCTCCTGTAGCTCCCCCCCCCCCCCCGCCTGCTTGTAGCTCGCTGCCCCACCCTCCTGCTGACCCGTGATCCAGCCGTCATGCGGTCGGTCGTTACGCTTCATGGCGTGATGACCATTTGCATATCATATCTTTATTATGTAGGATGTGAGTGAATGAATGAATGAATGCATCCACCCCATCAGTGGGTGCTAGTGTTCCTGTCCTGCAGGTGGGAAGGTTGAGGCTCAGACAGCTGAGTGACTTGCCCCAGGTCTCGCCTGCTGCTTCAGACAGACTTGGGGTCACCTGCTTCCCAGGCATTCACAGTCCCACCCTTGGGGATGAAGTCCAAGCCTATCCCGTTCCTCCCAGCCACCTGCAGGGCACCCAGGAATGTGCTGGCTGCCGGCCCAGTGGGCACTACCCAGAGAGTGAGGGCCCAAGGGCAGCGGTGCCAGCAAACTCCCCTGGCCCTTCCTCTCCAGACCTGTGTCCAGGGAAAGCACCGCCCAGGGCCGGGCTGGGGAAGCCAGGGGCCCAGGAGACCCCCGCGTGTCTGAGCCGGGGCCTCGGACCTGGCGAGCATCCCCACGTGCCTACAGTTCACCCGTCCTGCCCGTGAGCGAGCGCGCATGCCAGCGCCGGGCCGGCCGGGCCCAGGCTCCCGCCGCAAGTCCCCGGGGCTACTCGACAGCCTGCCCTCTTGGAGCAGCTCCAGGCCTGCTTTGCGGAGCTGAGGGGCCGGGCAGGGCCGGGCAGAGAGGCCTGTGGCAAAGGCATGACTTCTGACAGCTCCTGCGCCGGCCGGACCCCACCCTGGCCACTGATGGCCACAGGTTGTAGGTGGCACTGGCCCGGTGCTCGGGGAGCTCACTGGTGTGTCACAGAGCGTGAAAGGGACCAGCCCTCAGTCCACGGCCCACTGCGCCCAGGTGAGGAGGGAGAGGGGCAGTGAGCAGCTGGCAGGCCGGTGGGCTCCGGAAGCCGGCGCTGGCCTCGGCGTGGCCGCTGTGTGTAGGAAGCGTATTCTCGGGTCAGGGGTGCCCGCAGCCCGCCCGAACGTGGTGTCATCTCTTGCAGACCAGCCGGTTCCTGCTGGAGGCTCCTGGAGGCACCGGGGAGACCATGCCCAGGCCCCCGGACTGCCTGCTGGGGCTGCTCCGGGGCACCCCGAGCCAGCGGGGCTGCACCCTCTTCCTCATCAGCTTCAACTTCATGTGCTTGGTCTCCGTCATGATCTACTGGCACATCGCGGGGGAGCCCGGGAGCCCAGCACAGCTCTCTAACCTGCCGGTCGACATCCCCTGCCCCCACCGGGAGCCCCCCCGGCGGCCCTCCGGCACCCCACCTCCGGGCAACATCTTCTTCCTGGAGACCTCCGACCGGACCAACCCCAACTTCCTGTTCATGTGCTCGGTGGAGTCGGCCGCCCGGGCGCACCCCGAGCGGCAGGTGACGGTGCTGATGAAGGGGCTGCGCGGCCGCAACGGCTCCCTCCCGCGCCACCTGGGCCTGTCGCTGCTGCGCTGCTTCCCCAACGTGCGGGTGCTGCCGCTGGACCTGCGGGAGCTGTTCCGGGGCACGCCGCTGGCCGCCTGGCACGCGGCCAGGCAGGGGCGCTGGGAGCCCTACCCGCTGCCCGTGCTGTCCGACGCCGCCCGGCTGGCGCTCATGTGGAAGTTCGGGGGCGTCTACCTGGACACGGACTTCATCGTCCTCAAGAACCTGGGGAACCTGACCAACACGCTGGGCACCCAGTCCCGCTACGTCCTCAACGGCGCCTTCCTGGCCTTCGAGCGCCACCATGAGTTCGTGGCGCTGTGCATGCGGGACTTCGTGGCCCACTACAACGGCTGGATCTGGGGCCACCAGGGCCCGCAGCTCCTCACGCGGGTCTTCAAGAAGTGGTGCTCCATCCGCAGCCTGGGCGAGAGCCACGCCTGCCGCGGCGTGCGCGCCCTGCCCTGCGAGGCCTTCTACCCCATCCCCTGGCAGGACTGGAAGAAGTACTTCGAGGAGATCAGCCCGGAGGAGCTGCCCCGGCTGCTCAACGCCACCTACGCCGTCCACGTGTGGAACAAGAAGAGCCAGGGCACGCGCCTCGAGGCCACGTCCCGGGCGCTGCTGGCCCAGCTGCACGCCCGCTACTGCCCCACGACGCACGAGGCCATGAAGATGTACTTGTGAGGGGCCTGCCGGGCTGGAGAAGGGCCCCAGCCTCCCTTCCTGGGGGGAGGGGGCGAGATGAGGGGTGAAGGGTTATTGCAGGACTTGCTGCAAGCCCCGAGGTGTGCTCCCTCCAAGCCAGCGTGGGGCTGGTGGGACACCCCTCGGCCGGAGTGCTGTCTCAGGGTCCAGGCGACAAGTGGTGGGGAAGGGCCCCGGCCAGAATCAGCTGGAGAGAGCAGGGCGGGGGTGAGGGGCACCCCAGGCCTGTTGGATCGCCCATGGGCGCTGTGAACATCACAGCATCTTCCTCCAGGCATCCCAGGGAAGACAGGCCGGTTGGGCCGAGGTGCCGTGAGGGGAGCAGCCTGAGAGGAGTCCAGGGAACGGGGGAGGAAGGCGGCCTGAGGGGAAGGAGAGGCGGCCGTGTGGGAGAGCAGTGTGCAAACCCGGCCTGGCGGGCCAGAACCTGAGCCTGAGCCCGGGCGGCGCTTTGCTCCTTCCTGGTTTTGTGTTTTTGTTTTCAGAGAGGCCGAGGCTGGCAGAGGCCTGGGGAGCATGTGGGGGGAGGCCCTGCCTGCCGCCCATCCTGTATTCTTTCCACAGATGTTGCAAGGGGACAGCTGCCCACTCCAGGGGCACAGCGGGTGGGGTATTTTTGGCTCGGGCACAGCATTTTAAAGGAAACACTCCCACCCTGCTGGTCATAAACACAGGCAAACAATAAATATAACAAAAGTGATCGCCCACAGCTAGTGCTTTGTGGTCGATGAAACACACTCGCTGGAACTGCCCTTCGGCTCCGTTCTGCGGGCGGGCGGGCGGGCGGGAGGAGACTGCCCCGAGGTCATGCAACCTGCCTGGATCGGAGGCCTGCGCCAGAGGGAGATCTGCTCTGGAAGGGCGGAAGGGCGAGGCGGCAGCTGGTGGGTTTTGAGGAAGCTGCTGGGAGCTGGGCGGCCCAGCACAGGCCCCGGCGGGAGGGGGGAGTTGCTGCCGGGAACTGGGGGCTCTGCGCGCTGCTCTTTGCCAGCGGAGGGGGGAGTGTTTCGAGGCCTCTGGGTTCCGCCTGCAGACGCTTGGGCAGGGGGTAAGCTCCCTGGCTGTAGGAGCAGGTGATGTTTTTGATGCAAACAGTGGATTCCATGTCCGTTATTTCCCCAACCACATTTCACCTATCTTAATTTCCTTTAGAATAAGCAGGTTTTACTTTAATAGTACAAATTACACACACACACACACTTAACAAGCGAGATGACCTCGTAGGGCCAAGCATCGTTCAGTTTGCCATTTGGTCGTCATGTAGGGAGTGACTACCTCCTGGGCCCAGCATTCAAGGCTCTCCATGATCTGGCCCCGCCTCCCTCTTGAGCTTTGTCCTCCATCCGGACTAAACTGTGTATTCTGGGGTTTTTTTAACTGGATGTTCTTGACTCCCTTCCCCATCTCATGTCCACATGTTGATACTCTCTGTGCCTTCGCTGCTGCCTGCAGTGCCCTTCTCAACCGTCTTCGTCTTCACCCACAAACGCCTGCTCCTTCCATGAGACTGGGAGGCCTTCCCCGATTGCCCCTCCTCCAGCCCACAGCCCCCGGCACCCTCCATGACCTTTGGGTTCTTGGTCCATTCCTCTAAACTTTTTTTTTTTTTAATGTTTTTATGGATTTCACAGAAAGGAAGGGAGAGGGAGAGAGGAACAGAAACATCAACAATGAGAATCATTAATCCGCTGCCTCCTGCACGTCCCCTACTGGGGATCGAGCCCACAACCTGTGCCCTGACTGGGAATCAAGCCGTGACCTCCTGGTTCATGGGCTGATGCTCAACCACTGAGCCACACCGGCTGGGCCATCCACATCTTGAAGGGCAGAGCCGTGTCAAGGCCCCCTCAGGGCCACTCCTGGGGTGGGACTCGGGCTCCCCGTGGGGGACACCCATGTTGCTTTGCCAGGGCCTCCAGAAGTTCCTATCGGTCCAGGCAGCAGCTCTGGACCCCACTTCCCTGGGGACAGCAGGAAGAGAGCCTTGGGCCCTCAGCTCCCCGGACACTAACCCAGAGGGCGGGCCGGGCCAGGCCAGGCCGGGAGCAGCCTAGCCGGCTCTGCAGGACGCAAGCCCCTGCATGTTTCCAGGCCTTCGCAGGGGACCTGTTCCGGAGACGCGGTCCAGGAGGCAGCCTGGGCCCAGCCTCCTCCCGTCATGCCAGGCGGCCAAGCGGGGAGAACTCAGATGTTCCTGGCGTCTGGTCTCTGTGGGCATGGCCTGCCGCGGAGGTTTGGGGTTGACTTTCCATCCAGCCATCCGTCCATCGGGACAGTGGGGGGCGGGGCGGGGGAGGCGGGGCAGGAGGGGCTGTGCCTAGCTGAGCCAGCCTGTTAATGCAGCAGCTGAACACCTCGCCCAGCTGCCAGGAATAACAGCAGCATCCCGGCCTGGGGCGGGTGTGGGCGGCGTCAGGCCCAGGACCCAAGGCAGGAAGGTGACTTCTGCTGCCCTGGCCAACCAGCCTCTGGAGCCCTTGCCTCCCCCACCCCAGTACTAGGTTCCTACCCTCCTCTGGGCTTGGAGCAACTGTCCTAATGCCCAGGGCAGGGTCTGGGAGCCCAAAGCCCCCTTTCCCTGCCTCCTGGCCTCCTGCCCCAGCCAGAGCTCTGCAGAGATGGATGGTACCTACCTCCTAGCAAGGCTGTGGCCATCACATGAGCCAGCACGGCCCCTGGCGTGGAGCACATTATTACAACACACCTCCACCCTCTGCGTGGGGAACGGGCTCAGCAGGGAGGCCGCAGCGCTGGGGTTAGGACCCGGGGCGTGGCCACCCTGAGGACTAGCTTAGGGCAGGAAGGAGGCCAGCCGGGGGAGCTGGAGAGGGCTCCTCACCTCCCTGTGGGGCGCCCACAGAACAGAGCCCAGAGCCCTCCTCCGGCCCCTCTGCTTGGCTCTGACTCCAGGGAGGCCCTGCGCTTTGTTCCGTCCCATCCCAAACCCAGTGCCCAGTGCCGGGTGCCTGGCAGCCTTAGGCGGCCCCCCGCCCCCCTCCCCCTTGGAGTAGGAGTCAGAGCTCAGTCCTCAGCCTTAGGCGGCCCCCCGCCCCCCTCCCCCTTGGAGTAGGAGTCAGAGTTCAGTCCTCAGCCTTAGGCAGCCCCCCCCCCCCCCCCCAGTAGGAGTCAGAGCTCAGTCCTCAGTTCTCGGAAGGAGCGGGAGGGGCAGGCTGGGGTGGAAGCCTGCCCTGGGGACAGTAATCAGATCCAGGAGCCCCAGGCTGGCTTCCCGCCCAGCGTGCGGCTGCTGTTTTGGTCCGGGGGTTGGGGAAGATGAGGACCCATCCCTTTGTTGGGGGGCTGGAGGGGAGAGGCCCGCTGGGCGAGGCGGGCAAGCTTAGTCAGTCATTTAAGGAACCTTCCCCAGCTGGCGAGCACAGGCAGGTGAGAGGCGGCCTTCCCAGCAGCTCTGGGTAAGGGGCGAAACCCTCGTTGCTGAGTCAATATTCAGCTTCTTGTTAAATATTAAATGCAATGTCCTCCGTCTGAGTGCCCGCGGGAAGCCGGGCTGAGTGAGCAACTCAGGGCTGCGTTCCTGGAAGTGAGGTTTCACAGCTCACTTGTTCCTCAGTCTCTGCTCATCCCAACCAGGGCCAGCTGTGCCAGGCGCTGAGAATCTTGCTGGGCGGCTGGGGGCAGGACTGGACACAGCTTGGGGACCTGACAGCAGGTGGAGGACTCAGGTTTGATCTGGGCTACCGGGTGGGGTGGGGTGGGGTGGGGTGGGGTGGGGGAGCACCCACTCGCCGGGCAGGGACCCAGGTGGGAAGGAACCAGGAATCCAGCAGGAAGGAACCCAGGTGGTGGGTGAGACTGCACCTGGGGGGCGGGGACAGGGCATCTCTAATTGGAAGACATTCCTCACCACCTTCATCCACCATCGCCACCTACATCCACCATCACCACCTTCATCCCCCATCACCTTCATCCACCATCACCACCTTCATCCCCCATCACCTTCATCCACCATCACCACCTTCATCCCCATCACCTTCATCCACCATCACCACCTTCATCCCCCATCACCACCTTCATCCCCCATCACCACCTTCATCCCCCATCACCACCTTCATCCACCATCACCACCTTCATCCCCCATCACCACCTTCATCCCCCATCACCACCTTCATCCACCATCACCACCTTCAACCCCCATCACCTTCATCCACCATCACCACCTTCATCCACCATCACCACCTTCGTCCACCATCACCACCTTCATCCCCCATCACCTTCATCCACCATCACCACCTTCATCCCCATCACCTCATCACCATCACCACCTATCACCTCATCCACCATCACCTTCATCCCACCATCACCACCTTCATCCACCATCACCACCTTCATCCACCATCACCACCTTCATCCCCCCATCACCACCTTCATCCACCATCACCACCTTTCATCCACCATCACCACCTTCGTCCACCATCACCACCTTCATCCACCATCACCACCTTCATCATCACCACCTTCATCCACCATCACCACCTTCATCATCACCACCTTCATTATCACCACCTTCATCCACCATCACCACCTTCATCCACCATCACCACCTTCATCATCACCACCTTCATCCACCATCACCACCTTCATCATCACCACCTTCATTATCACCACCTTCATCCACCATCACCACCTTCATCCACCATCACCACCTTCGTCCACCATCACCACCTTCATCATCACCGCCTTCATTATCACCACCTTCATCCACCATCACCACCTTCGTCCACCATCACCACCTTCATCCACCATCACCTTCATCCACCATCACCACCTTCATCCACCATCACCACCTTCATCCATCATCACCACCTTCATCCACCATCACCACCTTTGTCCACCATCACCTTCATCCACCATCACCACCTTCATCCACCATCACCTTCATCCACCATCACCACCTTCATCCACTATTACCACCTTCATCATCACCACCTTCATCCATCATCACCACCTTTGTCCATCATCACCTTCATCCACCATCACCACTTTCGTCCACCATCACCACCTTTGTCCATCATCACCTTCATCCACCATCACCACCTTGTCCATCATCAACTTCATCCACCATCACCACCTTTGTCCACCATCACCACCTTCATCCACCATCACCACCTTCATCCGCCATCACCACCTTCATCCACCATCACCACCTTCGTCCACCACCGAGAAACACTGGGCCCCAGCCCCAGTCCCCACCAACCTCCAAGGAGAGAAAGGTCAGAGAGGCCGCCAGTGACAGAAACAATTCTGGCGGCTGATGCCGTGGGGACAGTATTATCGGCTAAGGCTCTGGGGAAGCTGCTGTAACAAAAGACTCCAAAATAGAGCCACGTAAACAGGGAGAAGATGTTTCTCTCCCACCACAGCCCCAAGGCCAGTGCTCCAAGACCCATGGGACCGCTCTGCCCTCCCCCACAGGCTTCCCCCGGGCGCCGGCTGCTGCTATTTTCCAGCTCATGACAAGTTTGTTCAAGGTTTTGTTTTATATTTTTATTGATTTTTTATAGAGAGGAAGGGAGAGAGACAGAGAGTCAGAAATATCGATGAGAGAGAAACATCGATCAGCTGCCTCCTGCACATCTCCCACTGGGGATGTGCCCGCAACCCTGGTACATGCCCTTGACCGGAATCGAACCCGGGACCCTTCAGTCCGCAGGCCGACGCTCTATCCACTGAGCCAAACCGGTTTCGGCA